AAAATACATAGAAACGTTTTTATCTCTTGTGTATGCATTAACAAACAAATAATTGTAGCACATTTCAGTTTCTGTACAAAGTAATTGTTATGTAGCAAATAAATTTGTTTATATGAGCTTTAATAATATTTTGGCGCTTACACTTTTGTTAAGCCGAGCTTCTCCCCTAATTTTTGGTGTGCGTCTTAATGTTGTAAAACAAATGGAGGAACTTACAGTTCTACGCCGCTTCCGAACTCCTCTAACGAGTCATCCTCAGCGACCGCCCTGATGTTTTTTTTAGAATTTGCGTTCTCGCCAAGTGAGTTTGTCCTGTTACCACTGGTGGGTGGGGCAGAAAGATAATATTCAGCAACTGCTTTAAGTAACTCTAGGGATCTTTCCAATATTGAAAAATATCACCACCTCTAAAGCGAAGATCGCACGATCTGTACATTTGTACATTTAGGCAGTCACAGAGTGGTATTGTTTAGAAATTTGAGTTCCGCTCAATAAAAGAATTTGCGAATCTGCACAAATGTACTAGTCCAGATAAGCAAAAAGGTCCGGCTTCGGCAAAAGTTTCGGTAGTTTTTTTTTGCCGAAGGCGAGCATTCAGCCGAATATTAAAATATTACCGATTAATCGGCAAACCAAAGCCGAAGCCGAACAATCGATAGGACTCTAATATGTGCATACATACATACATATACACTATAATGCTTTAAAAACAATCAACAAAATGCAGCCTCAACATTTTCAATGTTGTTTCTTGAATTTCATTTCATCTGCTGAGGCATGTAAAATGCCAAGGGAAAAGTCGGTTGTAGCAAATGCTATAAACAGTTTTAATACTTCGCTGCAATCATCGACTAAATCAATGTGCATTTTTATTGCTCTAAATAGGTTTCAGTGTTGGGTTTGACCCATGGGTGAGCAGCTGTACAATTTGCCAGGAAAATCATATATAAATAATGGTGATTTCGTTTCTTCTTTAAAAAAATTTTGCCAAAGTGTGTTTGATGTTACACTTAACCCTGTAAAAGGCCCTTTTGCCCTTTTATTCTTGTCAAGCTCAGGCATTTCATAATATTGTCCTGGCTTTCCTTACTTTGAAATGACCGAAAAAATCCTTAATATTTATTATTAAAGTCACATGAGAAAATGTATTAAAACTCACACAAATCTCTATTCATTGATGCTTTTTAATACATAGACCTAACCATGGGTATGGCAATTGTCCAATTTAAGGTGTAGTTCACTTCGGATGTGTGGCTCTCAAAGTAAAAAATCGGGCTACATAAATATTAAAACAAAAAAAAATATGAATGAAACTTTCTTAAATATATACCGTATAAAAGTTTGCCGTTAGCACCCTTTTGATGATTTTTAGTTATGGATTATNCTGAACTTGGTTGACATGTGGTTTCAACAAGATGGCGCTACATGCCACACAGCTCGCGATTCTATGGCCATTTTGAGGGAAAACTTCGGAGAACAATTCATCTCAAGAAATGGACCGGTAAGTTGGCCACCAAGATCATGCGATTTGACGCCTTTAGACTATTTTTTGTGGGGCTACGTCAAGTCTAAAGTCTACAGAAATAAGCCAGCAACTATTCCAGCTTTGGAAGACAACATTTCCGAAGAAATTCGGGCTATTCCGGCCGAAATGCTCGAAAAAGTTGCCCAAAATTGGACTTTCCGAATGGACCACCTAAGACGCAGCCGCGGTCAACATTTAAATGAAATTATCTTCAAAAAGTAAATTTTATGCGTTTTTTTTAAAAAAAAAGTTATCAAGCTCTTAAAAAATCACCCGTTACAAGACTACAATTGAGTCCATATTTGGGCATCTCCTTTATTTTCTGAGATATTGAATAAAAAGTATCGTTAAGTTAGTACAAATTTTCATCGCATTTTGTCGTATGACGTACATAGTGGCTGCAAAATTGTTGACAAACGTAGCATACGACAACATTTTTCGTTATTACATATTTCATTCTTGCGTTATAGTAATTTATTATTGACTTTAGTTTAAGTCTAGTAGTTCTGTTAACACCGTTTTAAGCATAGTACTCCTGAATCAATTACTAAAGATAGGTTTAAAGAATGGTGACAGGTAACAAGATCAACGGAAATAAGGTCAATTGGCTTTATATCACATCCGGGTGCGAAATAAAGTCAATTGACATTATTAACTTTTCAAAAGCGAAATTTTTAGAAATAAAGTCATTGGTGCTATTTCCTCATTCAAATGGAACTAGCGTCAAAAATGCTTAAAGTATGTCGATTCCTAGAAAAAAATGTTGTTCTTACAATAAACATTGCCTCGTGAGTGTTGTTTTTTAATAGATGAAAAAGGTCATTGCCAAATCCTCAGTGTGGTGCTATTAATCCATACACAATCATGAAGTACCACCAATTGATTTTATTAAATAATTTCAAATTACGAATATAGTAAAAACACGATGCGAAAAACCAAACGCAAAACGCAGCTGGAACACGAGAAATATTTGAAGAAAGAGTGTAGAAATAATCCAGAACTTGCAAAACATGTTTCGTTTCCACAAAAATAAAGCGAACACTATTAAATTGTAGAAATAGTCCATTTCCAAAAACCCCGGAGGAACAGTAAAGGAATTCTGTGTTTTAAATTAGCGGCGGCGGCCGCGACGTAGCGCGGGAAATAAAGTCAATTGGCCTTATTTACGTTGATCTTATTACCTGCCACCTAAGAGAGTAAAGGATTTGTTTATATATATTCATTTACTTACCATAATACAAAATTTACTAAATTAGGGGGTTTGATTAGTTACATTTCTCTTTTAATTATTTTTTTTATTTTATTTTTGTTTATTTCCGTGTTTCGCTTTATTTTTTTCTTTAATTCAATCGGTCAATCAATATTCATTATATATGTATGTATACTAAAATTTTTTTCTTGGTCCTTTCTTCTTATTTGCTTATGTGCCCGCACTCACGTAATATTGGTCCAATGTTTTCGTTTCTATACATACACGCATAATGCGGCAGGCTTCAGGAACCCCCTGCGAAAGAGAATATAGAAATTTTAAATCACCAAAATGCACAGAAAGACGATAAACCTGCAATTGCGCCGAATGCTGCAACCGCTTGAGTGCTGTCTAGAAACTGATATATATTCCTTGAAATATAAACAGAACAACTCCTGTTACGTTGCTGTTATTAAACTTTCAAAAAGTGGTGTCTTCCTTCACCTATGCTTTTGAGGACAATACCGTTGGAAAGTTGGAAAAGAAGTCATACTCAGAAAATGCCTTTTGAATATGTGTTTTGAAAAAGACACAGTGAACAGCCATTCTTGACTTCGAGTGATATATTACCATGATCTGGCGAGAAGCTGCTTTGCTATGTATCAGCTACTCGACAAGTTCAAAGCCTGGAAAAAGAAAAGTTAATCAAAATTTTACATGCGAGTGGTGGTGTGAGCAATAAAAGCCTACCCATAAACATAGGTGGGATACTGTAGAGAAAACCTTTGTGCATGCGGACCGGCTCGGCCTTTTTATTATCCCCACAGTCCATCTACATGGCGCGTACTACCTCTTCAATCTGCAAAGAAAACGAGATTGTGACATGAATAGAAACCAAAAGTTTCTTCTGACTGAGATTCGATTTTTTAAGTAGACATGATAATTAAGTAAAAAGATGAATCCATTCGCCTGCTTTGGCTGGACAAACGAAAGCAAGAGCGCTACTGAACACAATGGCAATGCCGAGTTCAATATCCCTCTGCACCTGGTATGAATATTTAGCGAAACTTGATAAACTGAAAATGCCCAAACTGAAGCCGTAGCTGTAGCGCCAAATGACAAGAATACTTGAACGTTTTTAAATTATTCGGTATAACTGTTTCTCCTGTTTTGATTTGTTAAGGTAGGTAGGAAGGTACGAGGACTCTGTGACTAAGTGAATTACCTTACTCGGCTAGAGACTTAACTAAAACGCTCTTCTCCCTAAAACTCTGGATACATCCACATAGGCCTTTTAGACCTGAGCTCAGTTTATGGTTTCAAGGTTTAGTAGTAAATGTTGGGTCTTTTCTAATAGCATTTCTAGACTAAGTATCCTATGGAGGAGGCCTGAGTGAAGAAAATCAGAACTTCGAAAATATTTACTAGTTAAATTATCTCCGGCACTTCACTTTTATTTCTTTTTGCATTTATTTAAATTGTAAATCGTTTTTTGTAAGGGCACATTTGTGTTGCTGTGCAGACTAACAATAACATTTTGTCTTTCACACTATGTGGTGCTTAACTCCACAAACCAAAGTAGCAAGTCACCCCTGTTCGGGTGGCCGCGAGGTAGACAGCACATTTTAGGCAATACTGTTTGGCCTGTTGCCTGCTGTGATTTGGATCTGTTAAATGACCAAATGGCATGCGGAAAGTGGGAATTTGCACCCCGTAAAAAAAATATTTTCGTTTCTGGCAGCACATACACGTTCTTGCTGTATTTGTTGTTGTGTTTTTGGTTAGATTTTTAGTATATATTTATTGTTCCTTGCTATATTTTTACTTTGTAGCATATTTTCCTTTTAAATGTGGTTTACTCACTCTGTTTTGGTTTTTTATGTGCTTTCTAGGTATTTGTTTTAAGGATTTAAGTACATAAGTACATTTTTTGTTTTTTGTTTTACTTTGTTTGCATAATAGTCCTCTTTTGTTTTAGATATTTTATTCCAGTTGTTTCAGTTATGGGGCTCGGTGTGTGCGTTTGTGTTTAATGGCAAGCATGTAACAATATATGTATGTATACTTCTTTTTTATTTGGAGGTATTGCATTTATTTCCTTGTTGTTATTGTATAGTTGCTGCTGTTTAGAGTTGTTTATAGCATTCTATAATTACAACTAAATACTTTTTGGTGTTGGCGTACCGGTGCGAGGGGGCGTATGAGCAATATTTGCATGGGCTATATATCACACACGTGCTTCAAAAGGGACGCAACTCAAAAAAATGTAGGTAGATTTTTTGCATAAGTCACTTCGTATTCCAATTAACGAAAAAATATTTTCCTTCATGATTATATTCTCTAAATAGGCAACTACTTTTATATCTGTTTTTGTATTAATTGCGTAAAAAATTGTAAATCTGTACAATCCAAAGCAATTATATGTATTTTTGGTTCTGAATTTTGAGTTGTGCCTCCTTTGAAGATGGAGTGCGATATGTACATACAGTGACCATATTTTAGAAATAGAAATAGAGTACAAGTTTTCATTATGTATATATATTCTCGTCACCGCAGAAAAAGCTGCTAACTCCACTTTTCAGTCAAAATAACTTTTTGATACTGACGGAGAGGGGAAAAGATCTCTGCATGCTAGTGAAAGCAAACATTTTTTTTATTAGTTAAAAGCGCTAAAAATACTTAAAAGTAAATTCTTTCAATGAAAACTTTCTTCTGGTAAAGTTGCCTAACATATTGTTTGAGGTGGCAATTATTGCAAAGTCAAAGGTGCGAAAAATATTTTTTAAATTGTTCTCGAATACTTCAAGAAAAGGTATATTTGTTTTGGCTGCTTCAATATATAATTATAAAAACTTTTCTTTTTCATTTATGCATGAAATTTGACATTCGCCAAGCTGGCTGACCGAAGTTACGGTAAGTCATACAATTTTGTTCGCAGCGTTGCCATTTCGTCAAAAAAGCTACTATGCGAGGTTTCATGAAACGCACTAATATGTTTAGAGCGTATGTGTGAAGTTCGGTAGGAATTTTGGTGTTTGAAAGAGCATTTCCCGGTTCCTTTTGTTAGTTCGTTTTATGTGTTGTTGGGATGTATATTTTATTGGCTGTTATTGTGTTGTATTTAATACTGTTTTATTGTACGACACACTTTCTCGTTAGTGTTGGACAAATACAATTCTCTGCGCTCAACCTCAATGTACTCCGTCAAACCGGCAGCGTGTCATAGGATCACTGTCACTACCCGCCATCAGCAGTCAGGCTACGGCTTCATGCGTGTGTGGTATGCACACTTACTATGTTCATGCATACCTATTAAATATATATGTATGTATACAAAAATATTTTTTATAGTTATTATATTCTTTTATTGTTTGCTGCTATGTTTATATTGGCATTTGATCTCACAAATATATCAATCACAATTTGGGAAATTTGTTGGTTGTGAGGACCTATTTTTAGTACTTTCAGCAGTGTTCGCAAATTTTATGCGTCGATTAGTTTGGAAGCAGGTGGGCGGACTAGAAGGGGGCTTATGATTAATGTGAAAAAGACTTGGCGAATTGCAAAGTACATTGCGGCAGGTTTTCAGCTATGTTCTTTTAGAGAAGAAAAATTTGCTTAATTTTTGTTTCATGGAGGAAAACAAATTTATAGGACTTTTTGGCATATTTTTGCTTTTTTATGAAGATTGCAAAGTGTGAAGTGCGATTTGCAAAGAGCGAAGCGTATCAGCAAATTCACACCCTCCCGCGAGCAAGATGTTGCCAAAGGTACACGACAATGTCATTCGCTGTTGTGTGTGTGCACCTGCTGTTGCTTCACTTTTCACTTAGCCTCGTTTTCGCGTTGGTGTGTATGTGTGGCGAATTCGCACCCCTTTGCATTTGCTATGTAAACTTTTTATGTCGCCTAAGATGTACTTTGAACTTAGAAAGAAAACAAAATACTTTGTAGACAGTTATTTTGTGTTCAGCTTTTATGTTTTCTCGCTTTTGTTATTTTTTCATGCATTAGTGTGAAAGGTATTCGTGCGCTCTTGACGGCGTTGCGAGTTTCTTAGAGCAAAAATATGTGCATCTACCCATAAATAAAGTAGAAGTCTATTGTTGAGGAGAAGCTTCGCTTGTTCGTATTTTATAAGTTTTTAAATTTGCTTTTTCTGCTTGTTTGTAATATTTTTACAAGATTCATTGGCAATGCGATTTTGATGCTACAACATAATTCTTTTTGTTTGTATGTAAAAGTTAGAAAAAAAAAATGGAAATCTTAAAGATTATAAAGATTGTTGACCTGTTTGTGTGACATAGATGTTGTTAAACGCACGCAATGATTGTGTTGGTTGAATTTGCCGGACGTTTGGACAAAGATTTTCAGTTGAAAATCCTTCGAGCCAAAATTGATAGTATTTATTATCCAAGGCTCTTCTGTTATACTCGCTGTACAGTGTTTTAATTTAATTAACTAAATTAAAGGAGACGGTTCCCAAGTACAGCTCTCCTGCGCCACCTATTTTCTTTACAGATATCCCATTGAAAATTATGTCAAAAAGCTGCAACTAACTTTACAGTGGGCTTCATTTTGACTATGAATATGGGCCAATCCCTTTAATCCTATTTTTAGGTAATTTAAAAAAGTTAAATTAAATCAAGCTAGGGAACTTCTTATTCTTCTTAAACGGAATCACTATATCTATAAATTATTTTATACTTTTTAGTTCTTGTTGTAATAAAATCATGATTTTAGTTTTTTAACTATATTTTTTTTTTAAATTACAGTTATATACATATATAATAGGCTGGCGTGACAGTACCTTTAAATGACAAATTTTTTTGTAAAAGGGTTCACCTATCCTATACCGTACCTTGTGGAGAATTTCATTAATATATGTATCTTCAAAAGTTTTCTCGAATTACAGAATTAAAAGCAGCTAGATGGGCTAAATCTTACACTATGCGCCAGCTGCGTACTCCAATCAAAAGTATTTAAATATTTGTGGTTTTGCTTCGAATTCAGCCGTTGGTGTTGTGTGGGTCAAGGTTACAGCTTTCGCTATATTTACGCGCGCTCAAATGTGTGACTGTGTGAAATAGAAGCTCAAAGCTATTTGGGTTAAGCACAAGCTGTTGGATGTCTTTTAAAGCGCACCCTTTGTTGCTACTGTTTTGAATTACTTTGCCAGTTTCGCGGTTTGTGGGGTTGTCAACGATTGTTATGCACTATATTTTTTTTTTTTTGTTGCTTCTGTGCGAAGTACGTTGCTGTTGTTGACATTGATTACAAGTTATGGCATTTTATGGCGTTGCCATTTGTTGACGACGCATCGTCAAAAGCTCGTAATAGATTCTTTCTTTTTCGCTCTACTATTTTTTAGTAACGCTGTTTATTAGGTGATTTCGGCCTGCTCTCTCTGCTTTCGTTTCAATTTCACTTTCGCATTCAGCTTGAGGCTCTTAAATTGAATTCAATGCCACATTTATCATAAATTTGTGACAACTTTGCTTGTGATGCCGGCAGTTTAATTTGCCCTTAGACCCTTCTGCGTGGATGGGACAGACTGTTTGGCTTGTAACGCAATGCTGTCGGCACGACCTACGACATTCGGGATTTTTATGTCACGTAGGCAACAGCAGAATTGTCACTCTTTTACGAGAAAGTAGTCAAATTTAGATTTTTCTTTAATAAATTCAGACGCCGTGCTTCGTTGCTTGTGTGCAAATGCGAAATTGATTGTGATGCAAAAATTTCTCTTTGTGCGACTTGCTTTTGCCACTAGGACTGAAGACAGCTTTGGTTCGTAGTAAGTTTCTTACATCATTAATTTGAGATAAAAATGAAAATTCTCCAAACTTTTGCTAAGAAACCAACTTGATGCGCTATTAATGGCGACAATGGCAGCAACAGCTGCTCGTGGCATTAATGTGAGAATTAATTTTGTTATTTCATTGCAAATATTAATTCCAAGAAAGAACATGTGCTGTCATATCCTTTGCCATTACAAAAAGTGATGAAAATAAGGTATAAAAGATATGGCAAAGGTTTTTGTATATAAATTTATTTTTGAAATCTGTTCAGTTATCTACTATTTAAGAATCAGTTTTAACAAGTAAGAGCAGCGCTGTCTTCGGCTATGCCGAAGGCTTAACTAGGAACTGGTTATATTCATTTGGAAGGCGCGTACATTTTCCCATAGCTGAAGCAATTGCCTGGAAATACTAGTACTTAAGTTGAGGACGATTAAGTTCAAATAAATTTGAAAATCGAAAGTTTGATTTGAATTTCTTTCGTCTTTTTTTTTTGTTTTTTTTTGGGTATCACTACTCATTAAACTTACCTGCGAGGCCTTTTCTCCAGCATCGGGGAGCAGTATGAATCCTGCAGTGCCATTGAGGCTGGCATTAATGCCCCCTATGGGATGGTGTTGCAGCTGAAAATCAATCTGAAAAGAGAAGAATATCGTTTATTAAATAAATTGAATTATATAGGCATACTTTATTTAATTGTTCCATCGTTTATTGAAGTTTGCTGTGATACTTATTAAGAATCCTTAGAATCATATTCGGATAATGCTTAGTACCAGGTTGACCGAGTTGACCGGAGTACATATACATACTTTTTAAAGCTTGCAAGATTTAGATAGCTTTAACAAGCAAAATTGTTGGAAATAAACAAAAAAAAATGGATTTCCATATCTATTAAATATATTTAAAGATAATAAAAGCACAACGTAGAAAAGGTAGAGTTTTATAAATTTCCAACCAAACTGTAGTGATATTAGTTTCATTTGTTCGTGAAAATAATGCGCCTTGGTGTGTATATGTAATCATACTCTACTTTAAATTTAAAGAAACTAGCGCCAGTGACCAGGGAAAAAGCAACCCAACTCAATGCAGATCCATGATAATTTTGCCGCACTGCGTATACTTTGCATTTTTCGACGAAACTCTGAATTAAATGGTACGCTGAGGTATAATAGTGTTGGCGTATAGCTGAGCATAGTCAATATTTTGCCCGAGGATGTATTGTTATTACTGTTGATTATGACGAATGTATATAAATATTTATTTATTTTATTTATTTACTAGCAAGATCCTGGCGGGCTTCACTGCGCCTTAATTTTCATTTATGTTATCAATTTATTTGAAACAACTTTTTCAAACAGGTGACAACCCTCCTAAAAAATATTTTCATTAGCAAACTTTGATACCTTTATTGCAATATTCAATTCATCTCATCAATTAAATTAAATTAAAATTCTCAAACAGATGGCAACCTTAAACAAAAATATTTTCGACTGTAAGCCTTTTAAAACCTCTTTCTTTTACAGCCATATTGCAATATATACTTTATCTTACCAATTTACTTAAACCGCAATTTTCAAACAAGTGGCAACTCTCTAATTTTTTTCTCCTGTATTTTAAAGTATACCGCTGGAAATACATTGGTGAAAAATGTATTCAATTCCATGTATTAGTTTTCGAGTGATGCGCGTACAAACATACACCCAGACAGACAGACAGATAGATGGAATACAGACAAAAGCTCTAAATATTTTTGTATGTTTGACTTCTGTTGCTCTAATAAATACCTCCATATTAAGTTTTCTTTTAAATCTATAATGTACAGATATCGAATAGTTTTTTATGCATAGTTAGTTCAAAAAATTGTATATTTCTTTGCCCAGTGGAGCTCAAAAATTCGAGTGTAAGCGAAAATCTAGAAACTTGGTGCCTCTTGGATTTTAAGCGCATTACAGCAAAGGCATCTGTGGACCACCAACAGCAGCTTGCCTACTTTCTCAATTCCAACGCTATCTATTGTCTGCCGCTGGCTGATGCGGCCAAACGAAATTGGCTTCCATTGCAATCACTGACGCGAAACTGCACCTACTCCAAATATGTACCACAAGTAGCGCCGTAGTCGTACATATGTCTGCATATACATATATATGTGCGTATGTCAGTGTATTCCGCAGTTTCTTTGTAAAGTTAATGCTTTTCTTTCCTGATTGCATCTTGAAGTTTCCATAAAGGCTCAAGGAAAGGTGAGTTGCTGCATTTATCAGTTAGATTCTGGTAGCAACAAAACGAAATGAAGAACTTCTAAATCGAATTCTGCGCCGTACGGTAAAAAGTGTTGTAGTTGAGTTGAAAGTTATCCGAAATAATTGAGTTGGCAGTTAAAGAGCTTTTTTAAAGAAGTACGCGAGCTTGATTTATTCGGAAGTTACAATCAAATGAATGGGAAAAGAAATCAACCGAGCAGATATTTGCGAACGTTTTGTTATCAATTTTATTTTAATTAGATAAAAAATAAATATAGGTGTAAGATATACAATTTGGAAATTAGTTATTGCAGCTAAATTTTGTAGTCCTAAATGTATGGTGGAAGTTCAACAAAGCCTTTGGGAATTTATAGAATACACGAAACCTCTAGAAACAAGAAATACGAAGGCGACTGTGTTGGTGGTTGCTAAACTAAAAAAAAAATCGGTTTAACAACATTTATTAAGAACGCCATCACTGCGCGGAAAGAGAGTTCGTAAAGCTTATTCGCTCTACTAAAGCTGCTCCTTTTAAAGTGTACTTGCTTATAAATACACCGTAGACATGAAGGCTGGTTGTCATCGACTACGATTGGTAACGGTGATTAAGTACACAGGTTTACAGCATTTAAAAATGATTTCCTTCTTACAGAAATGCGAGGAAAGACTGGAGGAATTGCGCATTCGTTGTGACGAAATTTCTTGATATCCTCATGGTTGAGGCATGCCGCGGAGAGGTCTCTGCAAAAATTCGATTTAGGCATTTTGGAGTAAAGTAATTCTAGATGCCAAACTTTCATGGAAGTCTCACTTTTAACATAACACCTCCAAACCCTTGGCCGAAATTTGACAACGAAAACAGATCTTTGAAAAAAACATGATCCATTATCAGTTGTGCATATCAGTGTGCTGTACGAGGGCTTACATTATAACGCCTGGTGCTGTTTTTGATGGGCTGCCATAATTACTATTACTTTGCACCTTTGTACGTGGGAAGACCTTAAAGGCCACCTGCAGGCTTAGAAAAAATTTATGGAGGCGGAGATTGCTGGTGGCAGAGAACGAGAAACAATTTTAATTTCAGTACCCTAGGATAGTACGGCCCCATTATCTTTCCTGAGGATATTCTACAAGGTTGAGTTGCCTGTGGCTCAATTCTGGCTCAAACCCAATACCGAGCTCGGGCTCACACACTATGGAATGTTTACTGCTGGCTCCAAAACTGACACTGAGCTTGAATCTGGTATCTATATCGAAAAGAGTGTACATAAGCTTTACTTTTATTTTGGGACTATGCTTCGGTGTTCCAAGTGGAGGTATTAAAACCCCCATTGACTACGTAGTGGAAAATAGTTTAGGGTGCAGGATTTTACGTATTTGTAGTGACAAGGCATTTATTAGCCTACAAAATACCTCCGCACTGATTCTGCAATGCAAGTCTCGACTAAAATTATGCTGAAAAACGTAACAAACTTGTTTTATTCTGGATGCCAGAATCTGGTGATGATGCATCTGGCAATTTGGCATGCGTCCGCAAATAGTTAAAGCACTTCGCCTTCGGCCGTCAGAAATTGGGCGGTCGTTTCGCATGAGCGTCTACATATCGATGGTCCTGTGCAATAACGACACAATTAAAAATTCAAAAAACAAAAACTGTTACTACTGTTAAGTGGCTCTTGTCTCTAATCCTTGTATAACCAATTTCCATATCTCACTAAAGTAATCAGTAAGGATGGCTAAAGTAAGTACATACAAAAGATTAGACATGCATTCGACGAGAATTAGAGACATGAGCCACTTAACAATATTTGTTTTATTAATTTTGAATTGTGTCGTTATTGCAAAGGACCATCGATATGTACATTTAACAAGTGAGATTGTTGGAAACCTTTGAGATTGCTGACTGTTCACTTATTTTTCGCGGCGCAAACATTTGGCAGAGATCAGAATACCAGAAACTAAATTTTAAATAGATTAAAAGAAAAATGAGAATAGAACCATAGCCCTGAGTTTGTAATGTTATGTGTGTTGAGTTCCGAAAAACAACTGTTCTTAACAAGAATAATTTCCACAAAAAAGGGCTCATACAGCTGTGAAGAAGGACGCTGGGCATTACCTTTAGCTCAGTTCAAATCTAAAAGGTGAAGTTTATCTGAACCGCTTTGCACCATTCATAGACTTCGAATCGATACTAATATATGGACAAGGTCCACAAAGACATTCGTGGAAACAAATTCAATCAAAGAATTAAGTGCTGTAGAACTCATCTGTATTTGAATCGAAGTAAGAAGATTAGCTTTTTTCTTATTCTTCACTCAAAATATGATTTTTGCAATAGCAATATGTTGTTACCATAAGACGTGATATCCGGTGGCTGAAACTGGCTACACACACAACCACAAATTTACACGCCTTTTAAGAAAATATTTAATGAAGCTTTTCATCCGATTTTATTACAATAAACCATCGCAAAATATACCATTGCAAATGCCTTTGTACAGCAAATGAAGTGTTTACAATTTCCCAATTTTCACTTTGCTGCCAACAAAGGAAGTAAAGTAGACTACGGGGCGTATACGCAACACACATTCTTGCCAACGCTATGCGCTTAACTCGCTAAAGTTGTGACAACAATGCACGCGAATAGCATGTGCTTATGTTATGTACATATGTGAATGCGAGAGAAAATGAGGGAAATGCAAATTTCGAGCAATAAATGGAACTTGCATGGAGCGATTGATGTGCAACAAACTAAATATGTGTAGGTGTGGGAAGCTCCCACACACACACATAGCCAACATATGCATTGTAAAAGCCCTGCAGGGAGTGACGTTAGCTTATACCTAACTTTAGTCTGTTTACGAGAACACTAGTGCTAACTATTAACTGTGTATTTTGTTCGAAAAAAGCTAACTACTTTTGTGGGACGATGGCCGCAAAAAATTCAGACCTGGATACCTCTGCATTACATGTCAACTAACTTGTAACTAACTACTTTTGGACATAAAATATCAATAAGAAAAACAAAATATTTTTTTGTTTTTTTACTTTTTTATTTACTTATTTATTTACTTTATTTTATTACATTTCATATTTGTTTACATATTCTGCTCTGGGTGGCCCCATATTCGAACACCGTCAGACATAACTTCAAAATGATAGTATAAAATTTCGATCTTCCTTTTATTTGTCCTGAATATGAAAAAGAATCTGCGAAGTTCAGAAAAAAAGTGTATTGAAAGTAATTTTTGTATGAGGATATTTAATAGAAACTTGTAAAGAAAACCAACTCCCGATTGCGTCTGCATGACTCCTGCACGACTTTACAATTCACTTTAAGTTGGTTTTGTCATAGCTAATTAAAAGTGAGGTATTAATCGAAATCTCGCCAAAAA